CAACACACTCCTCTGTTACAACGATTTGCCTGTGGTTGTTCTGTGGCCACAGATATGAACATTAGAGTACAAGTCTGTGCTTACTCATTTAAGGTGTTACATGGTTCCGTAACTCTTCCATGTAGAGTGTTGTCTAGGGCAGGATCCACTGAGAGGGCTGTGCAGCTTTTAAGATTGGCTATGACAGGATGGACTGATGCACAGAGAGGAGCTTTCTGGAATTCAGTAAGGCAAATGCAGGGTATACTACACCTGGGGAGAAATAACCCCATGCAGCAGCACAGGCTGGGGGCAGGCCTGCTGGGAAGCAGCTCTTTGGAGAAGGATCTGGGGGCCCTGGTGGACAAGAATATCCCCATAAACCAGCAGTGTGTCCTGGTGGCCAAAAAGCCACTGGTGTCCTAGGATACATTAGAAAGAGCAAAAAGACAGTGGTGTCCTGGGATGCATTAGGAAGAGCATTGACAGGTGCGGATCCATTCAGCCCTGGTGAGGTAAATCTGCAGTGCTATGTACCTTTAACCATGGATGTGAAAAAGAGAGTGCAAAGGAGACATGGATGTCCTGGAGAAAGTCCAGGACAGGAGACAAAAGATGATTAGTAGAGTGGAGCACCTCTTTAGTGCACAGTGATTAAGGGAGCTGGGCCTGTTTTGCCTTGAGAAGAAAGAACTAAATGGCTACCTCATTGATGTCTACAAGTATCTGAAGGGAGGGTCCCAAGAGGTGGAGCCAGGTCCTTCACTTTGATGCCCAGTGCTAGGTCAGGAGGCAATGGGCAGAAAATGAAGCACAGGAAGTTCCACCTGAATCTAAGGTCAGAGCTTTGCAATGTGAGTGGCCGTGCACTGGCACAGATTGCCCAAAGAAGTTGTGGAGCCTCTCTCCCAGGAGATATCCCAGAACCATATGGATGCAGTAGTGTACTGTGTGCTCTGGAATGACTCTGTGTCAGCAGGGAGCTTGGAGCAGTGGCCCCCTGAGGTCCCTTCTTAGCTGGCCCATCCCATGATTCTGTCTTGCATAACACAAACCCGTGGACAGCACAGTCCTGCATGGGGCACTCCAGGTGGTTCCCACCCTGCAGATTCCATGCTAATGTCCATGCTCCTCAGGACCTAAACACAGGGCCCCACATAGCAGCCATGCCTATTCAACATCAGTAACTCTCTCAAATATAGTGACTTCCTCAAGGTTCCCTCTGCACTGCCCTCTGCACACCCCAGGCCATTGAGGACCCTTTGCATGAACACATCAGGCACAGCCTCCTCTGAGCTGGAATGCTACTGGTAGTATGAGGATTTGGTATTTCTACAAAGTAGCCCAATCCCTTTGCTTTTTTCTCCCACTTCATTATAGGAATCTGGAGTCTTCTCTGAATCTTTCTAGGCAGCTTAGGGATATGAATGAAATGAGACAAACTCTGAGATGCAGCAGAGTTTTTGGGAAGAGCTGGAGGCATTGCTGCTCTCCTCTGCTGACAGGACAGAGGGAACATCTTCACTGCAAAGCCCAGGACAGCCTTGAGCAGTCACATCATCTTGATTTCCTGCATGGGCCAGCCTCACTCTGCTGTACACACAGCTCAGCACGGCTGGGCAGAGCCTCTGTCACACCTCCGTACCCAAACTCAGTACACACAAACTACGAGTGTCTCTTCCTGCCTACAGGGATGTCCCACTGCCTTGGGCAGGGGAACAAGGCACTGTGCAGAGAAGAGGACATGGTTTTCTCCAGTTTTGTCCATTTGCATCCTGGGGCTCTTTTGCAGAGTGCTGCAGTTAAGAGGCAAGGAGACGTTCTGTTCTTCTTTGACATGGAGAAGGTCAGTGTGTAGCAGCGAACAGCCCTGAACCATGCCACCTACTGAAGTCCCAGCTACTCTTGCACAGCCACGTTCACACACAGCAGGCAGCCAGAGGAGCAGGGTTCAAGCACCTCATGACTGCCTGCAGGTGTCATTCCCCACCGTTCCTGGACAGCCAACATTCTTGTGACCTTTCAGACTCCTGCTCACTCCCCTGCCCACCCACAGAGAGACGGATCTCTTCCTCTCCACCTCTCACTTTTACACATCTCTGTGTCTGTGCTGTCACCGGGGGCAGGTGGCAGGAAGGAGGGGACCTTCTCTATGGATTTCCAGTGGTTCCTTGTGGCCATGGTGCTCCCTGTGGGTAAGTGGGCTTCCCTTCCTCTTCAGTAGCTTCACTGGGGCTGCTGCTGCTGCTGCATCCTCAGCTGTGCTCCCAGTTGCTGCCAGTGCCCCTTTCCCAAGGCTTCCAGGGGGGAAGGTGGGCAATGAACCAGGTGATCCTTTCCACCACCTCTTGAATCAGGAAATTCTGGAAGACTGAAAATTTGTTTTTTCCTGCCCCTTTTTAATACTTTGCTTAAGAGTACCAAAGTAATTTCTTTTCAAATGTTGCATTTGAAGCTGGTTTGTTTGGGGTTTTGTCTTATATGTACCTTTTTTCAGAGAAGCAGGGCGCTGTCCCCAAGCTTTCTGATATGCTGGTGGCATTCTGTTAATATAAAGATGTGTATTTTTGTCTTCTTCAATGCATTTCACTTCCCACCTTTCATCTCCTTTCTTTCCAGGCTGGGCCCTTCAGCAATCCCCAGATACAATTATCCGGGTGGGAGACACCGTGACTCTGGAATGTTCTGCATCAGGGAAAGATTTCGTAAACATCTACTGGTACAAGTTACCCATGGAGAAGGATGCCAGTATGCAATTGGTTGTATATTCAGTGGAAGGTGGCAAAGCAGATATTCAGAAGGAATTCCAAAATCGTTTCCAGAGTAATGGGACTCGGAACAACCATTTATCTGTGAAGATACAGCATGCCCAACTCAATGACACTGGAACATATTTCTGTGCTGAAAGTAATCCACAGTGACTCAAAGACAGGTGCAGCATAGCACAAAGGTTTTCAGGCAAACAGGGATCTGCCACCAGCACACCCTAAGCCCTGTGTTTGACAGAACCCCATTTTCTTACATGCCCTTTTTCTCTTGAGGAAAAACACGGCATGACTGTCTGTCCATCTGTGCACCTACCTGTCCATCTGTTTGTCTTTAGCATGGTCTCTAGCTGCTTTTCTGTTCTTTCCCATCTCTGAATCATTGTCTAACTCTGCTTTCTTGTTGTCCTCACTGTAACACCTCATTTTTCTGCCATTCATAGACTGTTTCTCACTTTTCCACTTAGTGGTTAGATACAGTTTTCCTCAGGACTTCCTTCCATGGAAATTTCTGCTTCACTGAATTGGTTGACACCTGATGAGCCTTTTCCTTCCCACCGTTATGAGACCGAAATTCCACCAGGGAACCTAGCCCAATTCCACTTGTTTGTCCTTCCTATTATCCAGCAGACATCAAGACACAGGAAAGGGAATGATGAGGGAAATGAGCTCCCAGAACACCTTGGCTGGAAGTTCTATCAATCCTTCCCTGTGTCCCTTTCACCCCTTGCCACTGTCCCAGACGTTATTTATCTCTGTTATCATTGGGTTCCCCAGATATCCCATGCAGACTTTGTGGAGCAGAGGACACGTGGATTTTCTTCAGAGCAGAAACACCTGAGGGCACAGTGGAGAGGCTGCAGTGGC